TCTGCTCGACTGGTTCCACTGCGCAGTGGCGCGCCCGGCTCCGGCCTCGTCACGTGGCCGTCTAGACACCCTGTCGCTTTAAAAAAAAAAAAAAAGCGATTGTGTTTCGCAAACAACAGATCGGGTTTCTAAAAGCTATTCCTCCCCCAACCCCGCCACTGCTACCCCTCCCGGGTCTGCAGAAGGGGGACCAATGCATATGGGGGGGGCCGAGGGGCTCCCGGAATCGACTGAGACCTAGCTAGAGCAGAGGAGAAATTCGAAGAGCGAGAGCACCGGGGGGCACAGCGGGCGAGTTTTGGAGCGGAACGAGCCGATCGGTGGCTGGGTTTAGACTCAGCGGATCAGGGGCAGCCCGGAGTGCACTCGCCCCAGGGCTTCATTCATTCGTTTTATTTTAAAGGCCCTGGCGGCGGATCCCTTGGCCGCGCCGAAGGGAAAGAAGAGGGGAGCACTGTTTCTGTTGAAAAGACATTTACACTGGGCTGGACCGAGGCCCTGGGAAGTGTGCGCTGGAGGGAACAGCCGGGCAGCCGAGGGCGGGGAGGCGGTGCGAATGTGACCTCAGCGGCGGCCGCGCGCTCCCTCCCGCCCTCTCCCGCTCGGGGCTCCAGTTTCTAGGACTGCCTGGAGAACTGTGTCTTGTGCACAGCTCTGGAATGCATTTGGCCGACTGACGAGCTGCGAGGGGCAGCATCCTGGCGGGAGAAGGAGGGTGAGGGGGGCTCGCCTGCGCGCCGCCGGCAGGTTTCCTCCAGGGCCCGGAAGACCTCCGTCACCCGCCTCACGGCTCGGGAAGGGTACCCGGCGAGCAGACCCGCCTAGGGCAATCATTTGCATGCGAGGCTGGTTTCGGCACCATTCTGGGGTGCTTAAGGTCGGAAAGTTTATCAGTCGACCCTCAGGTTCCAGAGAAAAGTATCCCCCAGACGGAGGTTGTTGCAAGTAAATGGAAAAGGCATTGGTCGGGCTAAGGACCTAAGAGCCTTTACGTCTCGAAAACTGCTGCTGTTGAGAATCGTACTGCAGTATTTAAATACTACATAGGCATCATTATCGAGGACGCCACTAGTTGGCTTGGTGATCTAACCTCACATCTTATTCATGAAAATCCGAATGTTTTTTAAAAAGTCATTTAGAACTATAAGATCAAGACAACAGTGAAACTCATTAAGGATTTTAAAGAATCTTTAGGAAAAGTGAAATGTACTACTTCCTTCTCCCCACCCAAATTAATGTGTTTTTGTTTTTGTATCTGGAATCGAACTCGGGTCTATTGCACTTGAGAGGCAGGCGGCGGAACCACTGAGCTAAATCCCAGGCCCCATTAACGTTCTTAAAAGAAAAAGGCAAGAATGAATCAAACATCTTAATAGCTCAGTGCTCTCCTTTCCAGCAATTTAGAAGATTCCTGGGCTGGGGATTTAGCTCAGCGGTTCCACCGCCTGCCTCGCAAGTGCGAAGTCCCAAGTTTGAGCCCCATACCAAAAAAAAAAAAAAAAAGGAAGATTCCTAATAAAGAATAAATATTTGAAGGGCTAGGGTGCTACTCAGCAGGGACCCGGGGTTCAGTGCCCAGCACTGTCTCCCCCACTTAAAATTGGTTAGGACTTAGTGGGGGCCATTTGAACCCCTTCTCTATCCCACCGA